TCCTCGCAAACCATTTCATGAGTCAGTTGCTTCTATTGCTAAGCTAAGGTTGTCGACGAAGCTCGTCACATCGTCGCATTTGGACCCTGCAGAAGCGTTGCCGGTCACCAGCAGCTGCTAACTTGCTTCACATGGCTGAGGTTCAGCCCGGCATCAGGGTGAGAAGTGCGCCATGTACGTTCTAGGCATAGCTACCTTAGGTTTAAGACATTGAGTTCTAGTTACGACCATGGACTTGTGAGTCAATAGCGTTATTGGAAGTCGACGACAACCTAGGTCGTCAGAGAAATGACACGAAATGATAGTCGTGTCGGTCAGATGAGCTGCAGCTCTCGTGCCTATCGGATTTCCAGGTCCTGCTTCGAGATGAAGTGATTTCGTCTGTTCCGGCAGGGTTGAAAGACATATTCGTCATTCTAGTGTGCGGTTATGAAGCCCTGGAGCCGGGGAAGTCACAAGTGTAATGATAACCTACTCAGGCTCACACACAAAGCCACGAGGATTTCTCAACGACCCTCATTTGGGAAGTAGCATCGCCATCCATCACTACCAAAATTTAAGCGATTACTTTGTGTTGATTCTTGCTTGATCGAGACCAATTGGGCTCAGATAGAATGATAGGGTGGATACATTGTTAAAAGTTTATTTGAAGACGGAAAAGATAACACGGCTGTAGAGTATATCCAAATGTCACAGGCACCAGAGGACGTACCCGGTCAATTCTCAACAAAGTTGTAACTGACTTTGAACCTAGCCAATCGGATCACAAGCCACCAACGCTTCGCAAACCTTCAACAAATAGCCAAAACTTCAGACGAATTCTCATGACATCAAAATAAAAAATGTCGCCAGGTGAATATCAGCGACAAAAAGACGTATTTGCAAAAGAATCTGATCAGTGGGAGGCTTGAACTCCCGGCCTTGGCATTACACAACATTTCAGGTGAAATATTAGTACCACGCTCTAACCAACTGAGCTAACCGACCAATTGATTGAAGACCCGCAGCGTGAGAAGCCCCTAGGTACTCCGCTGCAATCTTGTGACCCTCACCACCGTAGTTCCTGGCGCCAGATGGAATAACGCAACCTTGGACCATCAAGTCAAAGGTGAAAAGATCTCTTATCCATGTTTTTGTACTTAATATGGCTTCAGGTCGTGTTTGCAAGGTAAGGTAGTCAGTGAAGACGCAATGAACAGAGATGCTGTGAACTAACAAGTTGTAAATGAAACCAAGAACTCCAGCTGCTAGCCTCCAACCCAAATTAACTCTATGCCTGCAAATCACTCCATGAAAACTCCGGGCGCATCCATTCGTAAGTGTCCAAGAGATCAAAATTGAAATCCAACTGCGCCGAAAAGTCCCACTCCATCGCATCGCCAGACGGGTTGCGGTTTGGCGCCCCATTGAGTGCCTCGTCCAGCACCTGCTTCACAATAGTCATTGTGCTCGCGCAGATGCTGCCCGGGGCTTCGGACGGGCTCACCCACTTGAGGAAGCCGACCAGAAGACTCAGCACCTGTACGATATCGGACCTGGTAATGACTTTGCCGTTGCTATCTGTGACGGGAATGCTGTTGTTCGCCAGAGTCAAAGTTGGTTTTAGTAACTCTAGGCATAGAATTCCGCCTCCCGGGGCGGCGTATGCCATGACCTGGTGGAGTCGCGGATGTCAGTCATGTAGCTCTAATTTGAGGTTCTTAAAATTGATGCATCGTTGCACTTACAAGCCATTTGAAATCCTCGCACAAGGCACCGAGACTATCCGAATCAGTCCAGTAGAGCAATGTCGTCGCCGTCATTTCGTAGCTGACCGACAGCAAATCCCGCTTGTTGGAGCAGTCCTGCCGATTCAATAGCCGCTCAATGAAGAAGAGGTTCTGCAGATGTTCCAGCTGCATGAGCAGCCGCACGTGAAACATCTGACCAGTGAGACTCGGATTTCGAATGTCTGATTCGTTGAACCGCAGGATCGCTGGCATCTCTGCCTCAGCCGCGAACTCTTTCGCTTTCAGTGCACTGTCAGATTAACGCAAGATTAGTATGTATTCAACTCAAACGTATAGTCGAATGATCATGTGCTCAGCTTGCACACTTACAGCAGAACTTCCACCGATATAGCCGCTTCAGGTCCCAAAGCAACCTCAAAGATCTCGTCACGGATAATCATGAGCTTATACCGAGCACGCCAGAACGTGACCGAGTTCAACGCTCCGTCGGGATTCCATCCCGATTCGTCAAGCGATCTTACCGCCTTGTTTATTGTTTCGTCGTCGCATACCAGGTAGTCGTCCCGTATGTCGAGCGGCGGCGGCGTTAGGATGTATCGGCGACTCAGGGCAGGTGGTCGCCCGGTGATCGCGGAGCCGACTTTGTCGAGGACGAAAATCTTCACGAGGAGCCGTCTCCGCAGCTCTGACGCCAAAGTTGGTTTATAGGGCCCTTTGTTCTGTTCGACGTGTAGGCCCAGGAAGGTGAGGAGTGATACTGTCTCCCCCTGTGTCATCCATGTTGATTGACCTTATATACATGTCAGCCTCCGCATAGAGAGTTACGTGTCTGAAATAAGCCAGTCGGGACATGGCAAGTTGACTTGTGACCAGGAACTTACTAGTATCTCCATCAATGATAGACTCAATGATCATCCGCCTAAAGTAAAGGTACAGCAACAGCGTATTGCCAATATCATTGGCCTGCCTTGCCAAAGCGATGCAGTCAAAGATACACTTCCTGAAAGCGTTCTTCTGCCCGTATCCCATCCGTCCAACCTCCGTTCTCGGAAGCTGCTCATTTCGAAGCTTCATCTCCCAGTAAATGAACAGCAGCCCCAACGTCTCCCATCTCAAATTTTCCCTCGTAAATTGCGCCATCCAACGCTCCGGGTCAGGCTCGTGCTCAAAAAACGGCCGAGACGAGTTATAGCAAAGCCGCCGAGCAAACTCTGACAGCTGCGCGTCGTCTCGGTCCGCGTTGCTGAGATAGTGCCCGAATGTACCATACAGCGAGTCCAGGGCCCGCACGGCAACGGGGTGGATGAAGGCGTTGTGTGGGTCAAAGTGCGAGTCAAAGAGTGCCCGGCCCTTACGTTCATCGGGGACCAGACGAAGGATGAAGAGGCAAGTCTCCAACGTCTTGGCGTCTTCTGAGAGGACAATAGACCTGGCTTCCCGGCCGGCGTTAGAGGTAGAAAGGATTTCCTTCGCGGCGTGTATATCATGGGCAGAGAGCCCATTGCCGACTTCCTTGTACAGGTCGCTCCACGACATGAAACCGAGATGGCCGGATACGCTCTCCGTCACAACGACTTCGCGACTCGGAGCGCATTGTCCATGTATCTCCGTTTCCGTCACGGCAGGGCTGATCTCAGACCGTTGGCCAACCAGTGTGGACGCAGTTGCGGGTTGGAACTGTTCGGCGCCTGTTTCCGAACCCGTTACGCTGGTTGACCGTGACGTCCGTTCCGAGACAGCACGGGGAGCTCCTGGACCTGGCCGCATCTGAGCAGGTGTGCTCATCGTAAATTCGCACGGTTCCGTTCGCCTCCGTCTCTTACAGTTACTGCAGACCGGACGGGCGTGGTCGCATGCGACTTTGCGACGGCGGCAGGGGTCGCATGCTTGAAGCCGACCATTCTTTCGGTAGCGGAGAGGTGAAGACGCGGGCTCCATGATGAATGCCGATATTCACAGGAAAGCCGAACTGGAAGCCAAAAAAACAGCAAAAAACGGCATGCATGAGATGAGTAGACATCCAAGTTTCACAATTGTGCTAGATTTTTCCTCATTCACGATTATCTTTGAGATCATTAGGGGGATGTCAGCAAGCCGAACTTTCTGAGTCTTACCGAACATCTAACCGAACAATCTGACCAAAGTTCGGCGTCGGATGGCTCCGCAGTCTCGGGAAGAGCCTAACCGCGAACGGCAAACAGCCGATTCCATATTAATTTGTCCACCTTCCGCTTTCCGCAGCCCTTTCCCCCCTACGCCTTTGATGATGAATAATGAAGTAAGTATCCGTACTTAAGGGCCATTAAACCATAGGCGCAACTCAACTTTGCGGGGCTCAATTCCTCTAAGAAGGCCTCCGCGTCGTCGACTGGGCTCAACAAGGGTAGGGAAACCTTCTCCGATGTCGATTGCGCCTTATGGGGCGGCAACTCATCATGACTTGTGTCAATCAACCCCTCCCGACGCCGGCGGCCCTCGGCGCGGCGCACAATTTGCCGTATGGAAAAAGAGACTGCCCATAGTAGCGATGCCAATTGTGTTTCAAAACGAGGATTGCATTACAAACCATCACGCCTACGATTGAGGTGTTGTCGTTGATTCCTTTTGCTTGCTCCATTAGAATGTACTGGCGGTGCCTTTAAGTTTTCTATGGGATTGTTTCGAGTTCCCAGTGGTTCGCCGTCATGTCAGTCAACAATCGCATCTCTAATGATGCGATTCCGCATTCGGAATTTGCTCCCGAGGCAAGCATACCAACACAACAGAAGGAGACGACCGCCGCCAACGTGAGTGAAAGTGTCGAGATCGATATACGGCCTCAAGATGGCGGCCGTTTGGCTTGGCTTCAGGTTGCGGGCTCATTCTTTCTATTCTTTAACTCATGGTCGGTGGTTTTCCCTACAGTCTAGCGATATAACCTTCTATTGAGAAGCAATTCACAACTAACCTCATCCACAGGGGTATCTTGAGTTCCTACGGCGTCTTCCAAGCCTACTACCAAGAACACATGAAGGATGTATCCGCCGACTCAATAGCCTGGATCGGCTCCATCCAGTCCTCCCTCCTTCTCTTCACAGGCGTCCTCGTCGGCCCCCTCTACGATGCAGGCTACTTCCGTAGCCTAACCTTCACAGGCATCACCCTCATCTTCCTCGGCATGACCATGACTAGCATCGCAACGGCGTATTGGCAGGTGCTCCTCGCGCAAGCATTCTGCGTCGGTCTTGGCTCGGGTTGCATCTACATCCCGTCCGTCTCCATCATCCCGCAGTACTTTTCCGAACGTCGCGCCCTCGCCACGGGCATCGTCGCTACGGGCAGTTCTCTCGGCGGCGTCGTGTACCCTCTCATCTTCCAGAGCCTGTACCCTCGCATGGGCTTCCCCTGGGCTACGAGGGTCCTCGCTTTCATCTCCCTCGCCACAAACGCCTTTGCCTTCGCCGTCTTGCGGCAGCGCCGTCGCCGGACTGAGTCTGAATCCGATGATGAAGGCGCCGGAAAACGGAAGCGCCGTGTCATGTTGGACCTCTCCGCGTACCGAACCGTCTCCTTCGTTGTCTTCTCCGCTGCCATGTTCTTCAACTTCTTCTCCTACATGGCGCCTATCTACTATCTCCAGCAATACTCCCTCGCCCATGGCCTATCAAGTGGGGGCTCTTCGAGACTGCCATACTATTTAGTCGCGATCCTCAACGCGGGCTCAATCCTCGGCAGAGTCTTTCCTGCATGGCTTGCCGGCCACTTTGGACCCATTAACGTTCTCCTCGGCGTCTCCGTCTCCATCGCCGCCGTCGCTCTGAGCTGGCTGGCTGTGCATGACGCCGCGGGCAGCGTCGCTTTTGCACTCGCATACGGGTTCGCCTCTGGTGGGCTCGTATCACTGCCGCCTACCGTTATCTCGAGTCTCGTGCCTGACCTCAGCTTACATGGCACTTGGCTGGGCATGCTATGCACAACCAATGCTTTTGGTTCATTGGCCGGACCACCGATAGCGGGTGCCCTGCTTCGAGCGACCGGTGGGTATTTGGGCGTGCAACTACTATCAGGACTCGGTATGGTGGCAATGACGGTCTTGATGTTGGTTCTGAGAGTGACACTTGTAGGCAAGCAGCAATCCTGGAAAGTATAAAGGATATGTGGCTCACTGAATAACTTCTTTTCATTTCGGGAGCAAGCCAAGACCATGATGACTTATTGGAAAGCGCTAAATGCCACGCTTCCTAAGACAGAAGAATTTAGTAACAATAATGTATACTCGACATGTTGATCACACAAGCTACTGCACATACGGATAAGTTCAAGCCATGACTTAAGACTAAAGAAAATTAAAACGATTGATGGATCACCATAATGCCTCAAGGAGGCAAAACGTTTTCAAGGCCTAGTAGATTTTGGCTTGGAATAAAGAGACCTTATGAAAATACAAGAACACTACAGGCTTTTATGCAATGCCGAGAGTCGCCATTATTCATTCATCCAGTCGTGATCTCGTGAAGGTACATGTAGTTTGGAGACTGCTTACCGCGTTCAGCCTCGCCAGTCCGCTACTAGGTATATTTGCGCTTATCTGGTACGGTCTGGCTCTGCCGAACAAGCCCACAGACAGCGTTTACCGAGTCTACACTTTCGCCTCCGAGAGGGACTTTAGTCAGCCGATAATATGGGCATAGATACACTCCTTCATAACCCCAATCTCCCTCTTTATAGCTAACTGTTTGTAAAACCAGCTTGTTAAGAGGGTGAAGCTAGAGAGATTATTGATAAATACCTTATTTCAGAAAACCCTTCGTCTGAACATCATGTGTAAATCCCTATCCCACGTTCTCATTAAGTAATGTGTAATGTGCTATTCCGTAGATAAATGGGACTGCCAATGGTAAAGATCCTGGAGTTCATAGAAACAACTTTCAGCCACATTTTGGCATTGACGGACAGCCCAGTCCAGTTGTGTCACGGTGTCACAGGAGAAGATCCGGTCTCCAGACAGGATGCTTAGAAATTTGCCGCTGCGCCCACATCTGCATTGGCATCAAATAATTTTCTTCTATGGTGGTATTGATAGTCGATACGATCGGCCGATCCAGCTTGATAAGCCTCTTATCCCAGTTGCCGTTGACGGCGCTTACAGCATAGGTTATGCTCAGGGCCTTTATCCGCAACGACCCTGATAACCCTCTAATTACTCTCCCAGCACCTTCTATGTAAAGTCTTGCGCGATCGAGTAGCTTAGTCGCACTATGAAAAGTAAGCAGCCGTTCATTTGTCAGGGTTAGTGAATGGTAGCTTACGCAGTAGACAGACTATAGGGAGGTTGATCAGCTTTCAAGTTCATGCATTCGAAACAGCAAGGGATAACTTACACCTCCAGGGCAGTCCTGGTTGACATCCTCCCGATCACGAATGCTCTGAGGGGAGAAGCATGATCCGCGGAAAGTGGGGAACGCTGATGATTGGACGTTGAGGCACTTTGTTGATAATTAGATATACGTTGCTTAGCAGAATGGCTGCAACTTACGCAATAAGAGTTTGCTCCCTTTCCCTAGACGCGCATCGATGTCAGTGATCGTATCGTACTGCATGTAAGCTTTGGACACTCACTTCACAGGTGTTTCCGCTGGCGAGACCTTGTCCACCGTTACAGTACTTCTGCAAAGCACTGACGGCGAAAGCCTGAGCAAGCAGAGTGGTAATGACAGAAACCTTCATGATTGTTGAGTGAGAAAGAGTGTGTTGTAAGATGATCGTAGATGCTGAGCAATTGGACTCTGTAGTGCAATGGCGAAAGGCGTGTTCAAATACCACCAAGACTGATACTTGAGAGGACTCCGTGTCTATATATGGCCTGAAACTATGCGATCTGACTCGGATTGACTTTTGAAACCTTGATAAATTAAGATGTATTAAAATGCTGACGACAGACCACTTGCAGAGTCATGAGCAGTGACATTTAATATAATCGAAGCCGTGCGGGACTCGGGCCAGTGTCTAAGCCTCGGGCTTAAAGCCAACGTCCGTCCGTCTTGCACCTGTGCTAATCGCTTGTCGGACGGGTGGGTCAGTCAGCTTCTGATCTGGACCGCTCAACGAGCCATCAGCCTATCTTTGTGGCCAAGGAAAACTATACAGAAGGTAATGGGCAAGTTACAGGGGCAGTAGGAGCCAAGGCTAGGACTGAAATGAGTACTCAACCGACATGACCGGCGGAATGGATGAGATGACAAGTCGAGCGGGATGGAGTTGACAAGACACAGTAAAAATATATATTCCAGAACAAAATTCGTTCTTAGCTGCTGCAGTCAATATCAGAGCATCAAAGATCGAATTCTCCGGATGAAAGAAATGCTGCGGCTGGACAAGGAGAATGACATTGACGCCCCGGCAAGTACGGAGGCTGCGTGGGAGTTTCACCTGGTTTCCACACCCCGGAAGTTTAAAAAGCGGAAACTCACGAGGACGACAACCTCTGAATTGAAGAGAGCCCAGATACCTTGTCCTCGAAGAAAATGAAATTCATGTCGAGCTGAACAGAGCCACCACTGTTATTTCCGATATTGTGGGTGAGGTCCCTGAGCCTGGGGGGATTACAACCCATCCCGTCGGGTACGAGTCGTCGTCAGTATAGACACTAAAATTTCTATGGGGGGAAACTGGAGATAGGTAGATTAACGTCGACTCGCACCCGATGGGATAAACGCTATCGTAATTAAGAGGAAGTTTTGAGAGCTTCCTAGCCAATGGTACGTATCCACCTGGTCTGGTTATTGAATCCAGCTTAACCCTCTTACTAGGCTGACCCTATATATGAACAACTGTTGCACCTACGGTAGTAGCGGTGAAATAGTGTGAGCATCTACAACCACCAAGATGACTACTTTATTTCTTGGCTACTAATGCGAATCCTCGATAAACGCGTTCAACGCGCTCGGAGAACCCTTACGCCCTATCCTACCGACTACCTCAACTATGTCACTGAAGCCTAGATTGACCAACAGAGAGCATTTAAATCCTGTATCGCGAAAGGCATCTTCACGAAGACTTCAAATGAGTTTGTTCTTCAAAGCATGGGAACCAAACATTTACATCACTTCCACTTAACGTGTTTAAGAAAACGAAACATATAACTTTTGTAAGCAAAATACCGCTACAGACAACTTTCCAGATAGCCATACTTTCATTCTACGTCCCCAACACGCATCCGAGACCTTGGAGCGATAGTCCGTTGAATAAACTAGTGACCGGGGCCTTCCCTAACCCTCGCCGTTCAGCAATATGGTTACTTATGGCGGGCTACCAGGTTTTATTCATTCGCCAGCTCAAACCGCGTTCAAAGACGCCAAAGGCTCTGCCAGACCGAGCTTAGCTGCCTTGATGGACGCCTCCGTGAGCAAAGGCTCGTCAAGCGGAGTCGCCAGGTCCACGTCTGTAGCACTGCTGGCATCACTTGCAGGCTCGAAAGGTCTGTACAGAGCCTCGGCAATGTGGGCCTTGGCCAGTCCATCGGCTAAAGGAAAGAAGGAAGGTCAGTTCACTGCGTCTCGAGATCAGGGCAAAATCATGAAGTAAACATACCTCCGTAAACGAGCTCGACGGGAACGGTCGAGTCAAGACCCCGCGTTCTCCTGATGTGGGAGATGTAAGCGGCACTCATGATGTAGGCGGGGATGGCGTGATCCGCCAAGTTGGAGGTGAGCTCGGGAAGAGTTTTCTTGTCGTGGAGGAAGTCCACAGCTTCCCACAAGATTCCGCGCTTGACGTTCTCGGAATAGATGCCGGGCATAGCGGTGTTGTAGCGGCGGTCGAGGTCGGCGACGGTGAAGGTCTTCAGGGGGGCCTCGTCGCCGGTGATGTCGTGGTTGCGGAAGACGTGGACCTCGAAGTGGTTGTCGGTACCGATCTCGCCGGTGCTGGGCTTGGAGCGGTCGTGCTTGTCGTTGGCCTGACGGGAGTCGATAACGATGGTCTGCAGAGGGCCGCTGCGGATCTCGTGGGCCTCATGCTTGACTCTTCCGTTGCCCTTGTACAGGTCAGCGCCGGGCTGCAGCCAGCTGCGGCGGGAAAAGCCGTTGTGAAGGAGGTTGATCTGGGCGATAGCGATGGCGTGACCTCCGCGAGAGAAGGTGACTTGGATGGAAGCGTCGATCTCTCCCATGTCGGCCATGAGCTTCATCAGCTCCTCATCGGTGTACTTCTTCCACTTGGCGTACTCCTCCTTTCCAAAGATGTGGTCGTAGTCGTCCTCGTTCAAGGTGGTGACGAAACCAGCGGGGAGTACAAAGCTGCTGGAAATCTCCATCTTGTCGGGGCGCTTGGTGTCGGACCAGCCGGATCGCATAAAGTTGTAAATCATGTCAAAGAAGTGGTAGCCGCTGTGAGAGACCTTGCCGTAGCCTGTACGGTAGGGGTGGTAAGGCTCGTCCACGATCTCTGAAGGCATGCGCCATTTGCCATCGCAATGTGTTGAGATGATGTTCGTAACGGGACATCTGGTCTTCTCCTGAATCTCCTTGATCATGTCGAAGGTGCAGTAGAATCCAGGGTGGTAGCGGCGATGGCTGTTCATCTGGAAGAATGTTGGCTTCTGGCCTTGAGCGATTTGACGCTTTCGGAGCTCTTCGTAGGCATCGGCAAGATCCTGGTAGTCCTCGGCAATTCCGAAGGCGGCATCGAAGTCGGTGACTGCGCCGTTCCTAGTCGAGATAGGCTTGTCCATGATGATGTTCAAACCAGCGGAAACAGCCCAAAGACCATAAGACTTGTGGGCAAGAGGCTCGGTGCTGATGACCGCGCAGGTCACTCCAGTCCGCGCCACAACTTCGTTCAGGCGCGCGGCGACATCGGCAGGCATGGGTCCGTCGTAGGCCGGAACCAGAACCAACTCCGCATCCGGAGCCATTCCCTTGGTGAACAAGAGGTCTTCCACTCTGTCCTTGCATCGCTCGATATCGACAACAACTTTGAGATAGGCCCTGCCCTCTTCGCGAAGAGTCTTGAGATGAGGAATGTAAGTTCTCTTGGCGTGAGCGCCAGCACCGACCAAAAGGAACTTCTCCATGGCAGGCTCGGGAGCTGCCGCGGTTTGAACTGAGTTGGTGGCCGTCATCTTGAATTGTGTTGTGATGTACTACACTTCAATAAATGTTTGCGAGTCTAATCTGAAGGCCAACCTGATGAAGCTGTACAAAGAATGATAGGAATGAATCTCAGAACAAACATGTAATTCGGTCGAAGACAGCGAGCTTCCTTTATCGAAGTTGGAGATGGCTCAGGGCAACTGACTAGAATGTTCACCCAGTCTCTGATATTCTCAATCTTCGTGCTAAAGTCCCGAATGAATGACTTCTGCTGAGATGTTTTGGCAAGCAAACATAATCATCAGTTCAGTGCCAAGAATCCATAGGCAAGGCTATGATGGCAAGACGGTCGGTGTTCCTTTGTCTCTCACGCCACTCTAGAGGGCCTTGCCTGTCAGCATTAGAGTTGAGCCGTAGGCAACTCTACCGGACTGCAGCTTCAATCTTCGTGAAAATTCGAACCGTTGTCACCATCGACTATTCGACTATTTCCATTGGCTCGATTGCATCATCACTCAAAGCAACTGCCAAGTCTGTAATTTGGAATGGTAAGCCTTAACTAGCATGCCAAAATGCTTCTACATGGAACTTGGAAAGCTGAGAGTGAAGGACCGGTCAAAATAAGCACGTCGATATCGACACAGGCAATTACCCAATTCAGGGATGCCCTTGAGACGCATGTATGCTGGTAAGCAAGTGATTATGTGTATTGAACACGCTTATGCTTCATATGTGCATACATCTAAGCAAAAGGGTGGAGCACAGGCGAGCGGAAAGTTTAACTTCTTGCTTAGTTTGAGCCTTTGCGTAAGCAGTTACTTTTGTATTGTCTCGTTAGTAGCACAAGGGTCAGACCCTTTGCGATGTAGTGATGCGACCAGCAAGGCTTGATGAACTTGAACTTTCTCAGGTAAGGCAAGGTAGGCAACAGACGTGTAACATGCTACGCGCTAAATTTAGTTTGGTTCACAGCACCGTTAATCGTGGCGCAGAGGGATGCCGTATACATGGAGGCAACAACATCAAGTGAAGTCTAGTTATCTCGTTAGTATCTTGGTAAAAGCTTTCGCACATAATATCTTCCCCAATGGATTCAGTCAAGGGTTTTAGGGCTACCCGACAACCACTAGAAGAGTTATACAGCTATTCTCAAAACTGCGAGTTTTCGAATAGCTCAGAATGTCACGATAGACATGGGAACAGGGTGTCAAAGCGTGATTATGATCATACAATGACAACAGGAAGTGGGTTCAAACAATAGAAAAGTGTTATTGATCTAGCCTGTGGACACTTTCCCGGCGACTTTGACGCTTTGGTCAAACAGAACAGATGATCTTAGCCACAGAATGCCTACATCGCATTCACCACGGAAGCTCCTTGTGATCATAAGTACGGAATGCAGCTGCAGTCTCCCGGGTCGCTTGATCAATCTGCTCAATAGTTAGTTACGAGCAATGCAGCTCATCTAACCACCCGAGCATGCATACCTCAGTGAGAATGGAGTCCGTCGCCTCAGCGACAGAGACAGGGGCCTCTTTTTTTCCGAATCTGACCGCAGCAGCGTTGCCCATCTCCGTTTGCATCCACCTTTTCACCCCGCAAAGACATTCATTAGCGATCATTGTCAAACGTTATGCAAAGCAGAAGATGAGGAGGGGGGAAAGAGAGAAGTGACGGCTTACCCTGGGTGCAGAGCAAGGGCGATTAGACTCTCGTTCTCTCTTCCGATCCTGCGGACCACGAAGTTGACCGCGGCCTTGGAGGAGCCGTAGGCCGTGCAGGGCGAGGCATACTGAGGGACCTCGCCCAAACTCCCGGCAATACTCGAGATCACGACAAACTTTGGTGTCGACGATCTTGCTAAGAGGCGCCACGTAGCCTGGAATAGAAGCAAGGGAGCAACCGCGTTTACGGTGAAGCAGTCGAGGACGTCTTCGATTGGTGTCTCCGCAGCCGGGGTAGGGGCCTTGCTGATACCCGCGTTGGCGATTACCACGTCGATCGTATCCACTCCATGATCGTGGACCAGTTTCTCAATCGCAAGCGAGGCGTCCTTCGGGGAACGGCTGTCGATTGTGATGTTGATTAGTCTGCTTCCGGAGTGGGGGCGAAAGCTGAGCAAATCGGAGGCCTGGTCTTGAGAGCGCGTTGCGGCGATGACTGTGGTGTTGGGTCGCTGGAGGAGAGCCTCGGCGAGGCCGCGGCCGAGGCCTGCTCAGTTAATGGCCAGTTAGATCCAGGTATACTGAATGGGGCTTTTTGAGAAAGTAAATTTGATGAGGCACGTACCGCGACCCGCTCCAGTGATCAAGTATGTGGCGCTTTCTGACATGGCTTGGGATAACTTCGGAGAGTGATGAAAAGTCCGTTCACGGTCTTGGGAGCCGGAAAGATGTCCGTATCATGGCGGTGTGATCTTAAATATGTATTTCGAGGCAGTCTCTTCATAACAAGGGGCGATATGATGACATGCTGTTGTGCATAAGCTAAGTTTCGATGGCTTTTGCCCCAGGTCAGCATGTACTATGCTTCGAGATGTCATATTGGAAGCGGTAAGCATAGCTGAGGCAATCTTCTGCTCGGGCCGTAATTCAATACTACCGAGAAAGTTACGTGTATAGGTTATACAGCCTCAAACCCTCCTTTTCCACAGTCCGCCCACATCCCACATCACCCGTGCTTCTTCTAGTCACTTAGAAGTCACAACTCAGCCCAACTCGGTCTTTTGCCCAACAGACCGTATATCCACTTTCATACTTCTCATCTCCATCCTCAAGAATGAATCTCATGTGTTTAGTGATCTGGTCCAGCGAACCAAAGTCGCATCCAAGTGCCGCGTCGAGCTGCCGTTTTGAGATTACAGCCTAGATCGGTCGTGTGAAGCACGACGCTATCACGTGAATGGACTTTTGAGTCCTTCGCATACTGATAAGTTTACCATTTGCTCTTGAGGTTTCTGTCGTGCAGGAGTCGAGCAACGAAGATGATAGCTCCTCCTCCAAGCAGGCAACACCCCTTAGGAGTGTGCCGTTAGCAATGATTTCTGATCAATGAGACGGGGAAACGCAAGACTTACTGCAAAGATGATCAGAGAATGGTATCCGACTCGGGTCTCGCTTGTAATCAACGCGCCAGCGATTGGACTGCCAGTCAAAAACGCCATAGACGTAACGGTGCCAAAAGCGCCGAGCCTTGCGCCCAACTTATCAGCAGGGATGATTTGGCCGGTGGCGGCAGGCATGACTGAGATGAAAACCCCAGATGCGAAGCCGTAGAGGCAGGCAAAGCCAGCCAGAACACCAGGGGTTGTAGCAGGGAGCCACATCGCCACGCACAAAAGCCCACATAAAAGGATCATGGGGTAGAGAAAGTTCAGCCGTCCGATGCGGTCCGCCGCATGACCGCCACTATCAAAGTTAGTTTGCTGAAGAATGTGGGTAGAGTCAGGGAAGGCCACGTACATGATACGGCCAAAAAGACTGGCCGCGTTGATCAGCGGGAGGAGGTAAGGTCGAATGGTTGAGTTCGGATCAAGGGCAACACAAAACGGCTCTGGATTTTGTTAGACGGCAATTTGCAGGGTACGAAGCCGAAAAGAGGTGGATTCATGCACTTACCAATGTAGTAGAACGGAACGTAAATGCCGAGACTTGAGATGACTGCTCCGGCTGAGAGACAAGAGTATCGGATGTCGAGAAAACCTTTGTAGTCAAGCAGATCCCTAAGAGATCTCATCTTCCTCTTGGGCCGTTTAGACGAGGAGACGGCTATGGCTATAGCGTAGCAGATGACCATGATCAGGGCCCCGACACGCAGTGCCCACGGAAAACCAATGGTGGGAATCAGTTTGGAGAACATGATTGGCAGGCAAACTCCTCCGAAACTGCTACCGGAGGCGACGATTCCCATGGCCAGAGCACGCTTGCGGTGGAAATACTGCCCTGCAACCGTGAGAGCGGGCTATCACACTGGAGTCAGTACGTTCAAGAGCTTACAATGATCCGAGAGGTTCTTGGGGATCAAGATTCATCTGCATGAATCTAGCATGCCATCACCGGACCTCGTCCACTTGTCCTCCATGTGTCCAGAGTGTGGGGCCGAGGATGAGCGTTGGTAGTTCAACAGGAGGAGAGTAAACTACTTACTTGCACTCCATAGGCGACTGTGAGACCGAAGAGAAGTGATTGGGCCAAAAATTGCTGCCAGATTGCATTCGGCTGCGTGAAGGATGTCGCAAGCATGGAACCGGCACCACCAATGGCAGCGAACAGGTAGAGCCACTCACATGAAAGTTAGCGAATTTATAACCGAGGAGTGGGACTTGGGAGCAGGGCCACATACTTTGGGACCGTAGAGATCAAACAGTGCTCCGGCAACAGCACCTGACAGATACATCAGGGTGATCTGCAGGGTTCCGATGAAGGAAATGGCGGTGGGCGAGTAATTCTTCAGGTACTCTTGTTGATAAAAGGTCTGGAAGAAGCCGAAGCTGTTCACGACACCGAAAGATGCAAAGTAAACGAGGAAGGAGCCCGCAACGGCAAGCCATGCCTGGGTACCGCCCTCCGGGTAGACTTCATGTTCTGGTTCTGCAGGGGATGATTCTCCGTCTCCGTGCTGGGTTCCGGAGATGGATTCAGGGTCCGGGTCCGAAGAGGGGACGATGGAACCGCCCTGCTTCTCAGACTGAGACTGATCTGATAGAGTGTTACCTGCCATAGTTCACAACGTGAACTGGCCTGCTTAAAAAGTGGGTTAGGTAGCAAGTATGCTTACAGCGAGGATGATTGGCGACCGCGACGAAATCGTCAGTGGCAGTAACGATTCTAAGTGGTTGACTTGCCGCCTGACCAAGGTAGGAAGACAAGTAGGTGAGGAGGTGAGGGTTTGATGACAGAAGAAAGACGCACCAAAGCAAGTAACAGGCAGGTTATAGTTTATATACCATGTCAGACGCGGACATCCGTATTCATCCACACATGCATTCAACCCGTGTGACGGTCCGTACGCGGTGGATCATATGTGGGGGCCACTAAGGTTGAAAGGGACAACAACATATCCAGGGTTACACTTGAAATTAATAAATCGCGTCTTCATTCGGCTATATGGCAGCATATCTGATAAATGACTTGACCTAGACCAAGCACTACCCTGTTTTAATGTACGAAATATGAAAAGCTTGTGTCTTTACACAACCAATCATAATAAACCATATCTCGGGCGGATATATGTGGAGTGTAGTTCCACAGAACCCTTATGGATAGTTTGTACACGCGCGCTGACATGGGTGTTGCACCCCGGGACCGACCTCCGGGAGGGGCTTCCGGAGGGGCTTCCGGAGGGGTCCGGCGCTGCCGCTTTCAACAATTTTCTCCATAATACAACCGAATCGACCACTCCTATGAACATGTGGTATATTGCCCATGTTGTTGGCTGGTATGCTGGCAGCTTAAGGTTTGTGTAATGGTCTTTGTCTCCACGCAAGTCCAATTTTCCTACAAAACTTAAATCCTTTTCAGTCTTCGATTCTTTCCAGTCGCCATCAGCGCCACGACACGATTTACAGCGTACTTATGGTACACCACAACGCATGGCTGCTGTGTGGTACTACATGCAGACCCTTGGGAAACATTCTCCTTTCCTGACACTATGTCGTTCCACTCTTCCTCCCGGGACACGGGGCATTTCAGAGAGTCATTGGAGCCCGTATTCACGGACACATTCGAGTCAGTTTTCACATTCGAGTCAATGTTTACTTTCAGAAGTTGAACTGCCTTTCTCAGCGCCAAGATCCCGCCCTAGATCACGGATGCCCTTAGCACTCGTCACGATCTCTATTTGACCGCAGTAGGGTTGCATTGGTCCCCATCACGGCTTCAACACCCGTCCCCGCAGGCCGTGCTTCTGAGTTCCATCCTTCTGATTCGGGAAGATCCGACCCTTCTCGCATGCTCTCGGGACTTGGCCTCAATGAAAATATATATTACCGGATTACTTGGCGGTCTCTTCGGCTTTCTCGGACGAACATTGTTCTCGGGAGCTCTTGTTAAGTGTGAATTTTGGCGTTTCGGTTGAAGTACCCTGAGAATGGCAGGCAACGTTGTCAGCGAAAGGAGACGGCAACAGAATAGAGAGGCCCAGCGAACCTACAGTAGGTTGCATCCGGATACCCCACTCGCGAGCTAAGCAGTGGAAGTAGCGTAAGTGATACTGACACCCTACAGGGAAAGGCCTACTCAAGCGCATCGAGGATCTCGAGAATCAACGGAGTGCGTCCCCGGCAGGTTCAGGCGGGAGTGGCACCACCAAACCGACGCCGACTTCAACAAATAATCACGAGACGCAACGAGATCACCAAACTATGGCCCCCTCCGACGACGAGGCTTTTTCATTTCAGTCCTCTCCGATATCAAGAGCGCTTAGTCTAGACCCCATCATCGAATCTACCCTCAACCCGAGGCGTGGTTTTATGGACCCGCTGGCGGGTTACCCAACTTTCGATCATGATGACAACTCCGCAAACACGGATACCCAGGTAAGAGAAGTTCTATGGTGTGTCGGAGACTTTCTTATGTCAATGCTGAGACTATCGGGACGTAGACAGGCATATCATTATCTTGCTGGTTGAAAAACCAGGAGGCCAACGAACCCATCTTTGGAAATCAGTCCACTATAGGCGGAGTTGGCGGAACAGTACTCCACGCGGCCGTTGTGCACGGCAACGAGGCCATCGTCAAACTACTGATCGAAAAGGGAGGAGACCTGAATGCGCTGACGCAACAGCGCAAGGACACGCTTCATCTGGCCGTAGAGAGTAACCAGATGAACATTGTCCGCCTCGTGCTCAAGGCGGGTGCCAATGTGAACAGTGTAGATGGATGCGGGCACTCGGCTCTCTTCAAAGCCATTTTAGGCGGGAACGAGGACCTGGTGCGTTTGCTCTTGGAATATGGTGCCGATGTCAACCAGTCCATTGCACTTGTCCCCGACGCATCAAGAATAGGGGTCACAAGTGTTGCATCTGGCTTTGTATGACACTACTAAATAATTTAAATAAATGCAAAAAAAGGAAAATAACTATCGCATGTCGTATCTACATGAAGAAAAAGAAATTTGCTGCATCTATCGGGGATGTGACCCATGCTTCGTAAATGCACCCAAAGGGCAAGATATGGGTTCAGCCCCATCACAATACAATGAGAACTGCCTCAGCCGAGAACATCAAGCAGAAGTCCATGGAGCTTGGCAACAATCAGATCCACCTCTTTCTCGCTGACAGTGTATGCGGGAGCGATTGTAATGTGGTCTCCAGAAATACCATCAGCAGTTCCAGCTCCTGGGTAGAAATAAACGTTCCATGGCTCCGAGAGACCAGTCTGACTTATCCTGGCAGATATGGCATCCTCTGCAGGGAAAGGCTGCTTCGTGGCCTTGTCCTTGACGAACTCGACTGCCCACATCAGCCCCCGGCCTCGAATGTCCCCAACATTGGGATGACCGCTCAGAGCAGCGCGCAGAGCCGCTCCCAGACGCTCTCCCATACGCATCGAGTTCTCCACGAGACCTTCCCTCTTGATGATACGTTGAACGGCAACACCCGCTGCGCATGCCACGGGGTGCGAGCTAAAAGTGTGCCCGTGGTTCCAGACGCCGGATCCGCCGTTGATGGCATCGACCACTCTCTGATGAACGAGCATCATTGCGACGGGTGCGTAACCGCCAGCGACGCCCTTTGCTACAGTCTGGATGTCGGGGACCACATCTTCCTGTTGCCAGGCGTGGTAGGTCCCTGTGCGGCCGATGCCGCAGAAAACTTCGTCAAGGATGAGCAGTGCCGAATGCTTGTCGCATACCGCTTTGATAGCCTTGAAGTATCCCGGAGGCGAAGTATGGCAACCCAATGCCTGAATTTGTCAGTCAACGGTCCCCTAAACGTGATGGAGAATCTTTGAAAACTCACACTTCCGCTGACCGTTTCTGCAATAAAGGCACAGACATTGTTGGGTCCGCGAAGCTCGAACTCGGCGTCAAGCTCACATGCCAGTCTCTCGACGTACTCCTCGGTAGTCTCGCCACCGAGCATGCCGCGATACATGTTGGGCATCGAGACAAAGGATACCATGTCGCTCTTGAGGAGCGGCTCAAAAGGTTTACGGAACGCGACTTTGCCGCTCAACGCAAGTGAGCCCAGAGTGGTTCCGTGAAAGGCACCCGCTCGGGCTATGAAGCCCGCCCTATTGGGCACGCCCAGTTCCGCAAAGTACTTTACTGCAAGTTTCATTGCTGCCTCGACAGCCTCCGAGCCTTGCATCAGTTAGCAAGGTGCAAGACATGGGGCGATTTAGCTACTAGATGGACTTACCAGAGCTCATGATGGTTCCTTTCGCAAGCTTTCCATTCGTAGTCTCAATCACCGCCTTGGCGAGTTCTTCGGCCGGCCGGTTGGACTGATTCAAGGCAAAGCAGTAGGACACGCTCTGCATCTGCTCGACAACAGCCTGAGTAACCTCAGTGTTCCCATGGCCGAGACAGGCGACGGCAGGGCCTGCACACGCTTCAAAGATCCGGCGGCCATCCTCGAGTATCAAGTACGACCCTTTGCCAGAGGCTACGATCGGCGGCGGCTTTCTGTGGATGTTGGGATGTAAAATGCTGGTCTTAGACTGGTCGATGACTGGAGTCCTCTCGGCTGATGCGACTGTGGGGATGGCCATGGTGAAGGTTTGAGTGTGGGGCAATAAACACAGTATTCAGGTGCAAGTCAAGCGCGATGAGATGAGGTAATTTGGGATAGTTGTAGACTGGCTGGACTTGAAATACTTACCATAGTAGATTACAAGCAATCGCCTGGAATTGCAAAGAAAAATACCAGGCTGACGCTACTCCTCGACAATGTTCAGCGTTGCTGAGTTGCCTTTCAAATGTGCTTACTTGTTGTACAAAATCATAATACCTGCAAACCTTGATTACCCGGTGAGTTGCCAGCTTAGTCGCACCGACGTGCGGACCCATCGCCAAGTCACCTAGCTTTTCTGATTCACTTTTTTATCGTTTCTTCTTTGCCTTCCTTTTGTTAATCCCTTTGCGTTTTACTTGTGTTTCTCTTCTGTAAAGGAGAATTCAGAAAGCATAAGTACCTGATCTTGGTAGACGCCGTTGGGAATATAAATCTGCACTGATGTGGCTAGGCCTTGTTGAATCAGAACAGATATATGTAAACTTATCAAGTTCATGGGTATTGCAGCAACTAAGCTCAAATAGTTGTCAATGGTGTTCAGTGTATTCAAAGTGGTAAATCGAATTGATGTGTCTTTCGTAAGGTTCAATATTAATTGCTGGGGTATTGAGGGAAGACGATCATCTTGTACATCTTATTTGATGTCTTGAGCTGTAGAGCCAACACCATCGAGTAAGGTAGAGTTGGCAAGGTACAGGAAAGAGTGACTTTGTCCCTTTGCCCTCATCAAGGTACCTCTCCCAATATCCTGGCTTGAGTGATATGTATCTTAAAGCTTCAAACGTCAAAAGTTGATATATTGGGGTGCTTCAACTTTAATGAGGACGCCGAGAAGGAGTCAGTAAATCGAATCGCAAGATTAAAGAGTTTCTCCTTTCTGGCGAAGTGCAAGATAACAACTCTTCTCGCGTTCAATGCAATAAACTAGAGCTAAAGCTGTCTGCGCCTAAACAGTATCTCCTGTTCCTCCCCCGGAGTGATCATCGCCCCCTTAATCCCGTTCTTAGGTCGCCCTGCCTCCCTATCAACAAGGTCCAACTCGAAATGCTCAACCAAATGAAGGATGATGAGCTTGATGATCGCACTACCGAAGAAACGACCGGGACAGGCCTGGCGCCCGAACCCGAAATGCAATTGCTCGGAAGAGTAACTCGTGAACTGGTTTCTATGAGCACCACCGTCGGCCGCGTTCATCCGCTTGTTATGGAAACGAAGACCGTCAAACTCTTCAGGGGAGGAGTAGACTTCAGGATCCCACGATACCATAGATGAGGGAGCGAGGATGTGAGTCCCTTCCGGAAGATGAACGCCGTTTGAAAGCGTTACGGGCTTCATGACCTGTCTCGAGAATGCAGCTTTTCGCCTCATTAGCTTGAGCATCTGAATATGGTATCATTGGCCACTTACTCAATGTGGTAGGGTTCGTTCTTTGAGACTCCTTCAGAAAGCTGTCAAGCTTTGTTAAGCTGCTAAGGATCGCCGCCTCTTTTGTGTTTGACTCTTGGCGCTTCCGCGCCTCTTGGTTCTCTTCTCGGATGATGCCCTGATACTTCGGCATTGCCGCCAAATCCAGAACCGCATTGGTCAAGGTAACGCCTGAAGCGTGAAGAGAACCAAATCCTGAGACGAGACACATCTCGGCTACGAAGCCGTCACTCTTAGGTGACTTGTCCTTAGCTGCGTTATCAGTCATCCACTGCAGAAGGTCATTCGGTCTTTCCCACTCCTTTCCGGAAGCTCGAGCTGCCGCTTCCGCCGCCCGGCGCTGCTTTATGATCGGAATCAACATGTCTCTGGCAGTAGCTTGTCGCTTCCACACATCGCAAATGCCTGAGACAAAACCGCCTCTGGCGGCAAAGGGACGCAAGGGTCGAGACCATGCCTTGAGGGCCCAACCGCCGGCGAACAAGTCGTCAAGAAAGCCCACCATGGTGTCGAGCCAGACCTCGTCGCGGCTCAGGTCCGGACCAACAGTCATGCGAGAGACGACTAGGGCCATGATTTTGATCATGCGAGGCCAAAGTGCGGCAGAGGACCATTCTGAAGGGTTGAGCTGTTAGATTACTGGGCTTTCATGATTCTCGAGCCAACTACTTACCTTGACCAGCAGGCAGGTGCAAGGAGCACGCGTACTCGACTTCTTCCCGCATACCGGGGAGCAATGCACCTTTTTGGTGTCAGTAACCTTGGATTCCTCGTTTTCATCAGAAGACCATGGTGGCTGCTAGTATCACGTACCAACTTGTCGTGTCAAGTCCGTCTGCACTGAATGGAACAGAAGATGGTCCGCAATCCGCAGCCATTCGTAATCGCCAATGATTCGCTACATAGACACCCATCAGTCAATTGTTCAGAGTGTTTTGGACCAGTATCGGACAATATCGTACCGTCTGACTCGCAGCATGCACGTCGACCACATCCGTTCCCTTGGCATTGAGCTCCTCGACAAACTTGGGTGCAACAATCACCACGAAGCCGTCGATGCCCCAGACCTGATAGACACCATCTCGAAACCTCTCCCAGCCCTCTTGGAGAATGGACTTGAAGTTGTGCACGTACTTTTCTGAGGCAGAGGCGTAGTTCTTATCTTCGCCGAGATTCAAGACAGGTACGCGGACTTTCGGCTCTTTCCAGCGGTACAGGCTAACGAGGGACGGAACGACTTTGTAGAGAACGACAACGACGAGAAATGAGGCTGCGATGGTGAAGCTCTCGGTAAGCGTTCTGTCGAAGAGGTACCTACGCGGACCAGAAAGTAGGTCGGACATCTTGGCGGTAATTGCTGGGCTTCATAGAACAGGAGTCGACGAAAGGTTCCGGCAGCAGGCGGAAGTATGTCGCCGTTTGAGATTAAAAAGTATATTAATGGCAGTGATACTCTTGCCATTTCTCACGATGCTGACAGGGATCTTTCATGGAGTGGAGTTCTTGCAGCATGGTTGCTTGTGGATCGGGTAATCAAGCGCGTAAGCAACCAGATAATCACAAACCAGGCATAATATGCGCGTGTAAGTCGGGAAAATATCGTAAGCTTGGCATATTGAAAGGTAAACTCAGACGTATAAGCAAGCAGCTTCTCGAATGGTGCTTCAACTTCAAGTAGGCCGCCAGAAAAGGCTCGTCGCGGACACGTCTCGAGAAGAGCTGGAGATAGTATGTTTAATGTCGTATGAAAGATCCAGCAAGACGATTGACCCAATTTGAAGAAGAACGTTACAGCTTTGTAATAGTTGCAAAAAGCCGTTCTCATTGTATGCTAGCATTCCAGACATCATGGGCGACATCATTGATCTGCCGG